GCTGGGCTCACAGCCCTCCGTGGCACGGGGTCGGGGGTCTAGAGCCAGGGGCCCCGGATGTGGGTGGGAAAGGGGAGGGAGGAGGCAGGCCCTGAAGACTGAGGACAGTCGCAGATGCGGTGGCAGACAGATGTGTGGGAAGCACCTTTGGTAGGGGACGTCTCGTGGCCGTGCCGATGGCTTCTGTTGGGACGCATGGTGAATGGAGAAGCAGACAGGCTTGCTGGGGAGGAGGAGAGGTTTTCTGGCAGGGGAGTGGCCCCTGGATCGCCCTTCTCTTGGCTAAAGCGGGATGCCTCCCCAGCCCAGCAGACAGACTCCCTGCCTTTGTCAGAGCGCGGCTGGAAGACGGGAAATCAAACACAAGACAGGGAGGCGATGTGCGGAGCCTGGGGTGGCGGCGCTGCCCCTGGGAGCTGCGTGCAGGGGAGCCTGGCTCAGCCTGGTGTCTGTGCTGCCCTGCCTGCGAGCTGACCAGGGGCAAGGCTGGGAAGAGGTTGGTTTCTCCTTCGGAAGTCCTGGACAAGCCCAGTGTCAGCTCGGGTCCACCTGCTTTCCCGGGTCCTCTAATGCCACCAAGGTACCCCTCTGGCCAGTGGGTCCGGGCTCTGCAGACTCACACCACGGCGCTGTTCACGTCCACCCCTTTGTTGCTCTGTGAGGAGGTCATGGGATACTCAGCAACACTGGTGCCGTTCTCCTCTTTTCTCAGTGGTTTCCTGGGTGGGGAGGCAGGGACAGCCGTTAATGACCAGGGACTGGGGTGGGGGTATTATGTCCTTTCAGGGAGCCCACCGGGCTCTGTTTTGGGTTAGCATCCTTGGGCTGCTGGTCTGGTGGGGGCCAATCAGAAGCTGGAGGTGGTCTCAATGAAGGTGACCGCATCATGTGTCATGCACACCAGGGCATAGTTGAGAGTGAAACAGGGGAGCTTTTAATAATGAAGCAGGGACAACAGGCATGAATCGGGATTGTTCTGGACAAATGAGAAAGGAGAATGTATGGTCAGCCTAGTAGGACACATGGTCGGGCTTTGATGGGTCTCACTGATTATGAGCAAGCAGATGCGGAGATGAATATTTGGGGGTGAGGAGTGAAAGAGGAGAGGTGCCAGAGGTTGGATTTTGCAGTCTTGCCTCTGTGTGGTCAGAGGTAAGTGGAAAATGTGATGAAGAAGATGGCAGTGAAGGCGATGCTGGTGGTAGTGATGGGGGTTGAGGTGGCGGGAATAGTAATGCGGTGGAGTTGGTGGTGGAGGTGTGGTTGGTGGTGGAGGTGGTGGTCATGGTGGTGTGGGTGGTGGAGGTGATGGTGAGGGTGGTGGTGGTTATGGTTGTGTTGATGGTGGTGGTTATGGTAATGGTGATGCAATTGATGTTAGCAGTAGTCATGGTAATGGTGATGGTTTGGTTGTACTGGTGGTGGTGGTTATGGTAATGACGATGGTGACAATGGTGGTGGTGGCGGTTGTTGGTGGTGGTTATGGTAATGACGATGGTGATGGTGGTGGTGGTGGTGGTGGTTGTGTTGATGGTGGTGGTTATGGTAATGGTGGTGCCCCTGATGTTGGCAGTAGTCACGATGATGATGGTGGTGGTGGTGGTTGTGTTGATGGTGGTGGTTATGGTAATGACGGTGGTGACAATGGTGGTGGTGGTGGTTGTGTTGATGGTTATGGTAATGGTGGTGCAGCTGATGTTGGCAGTAGTCGTGGTGACGATGACAGTGGTGGTGGTGGTTGTGCTGATGGTGGCAGAGGTGGCGGTAGTGAATGTCCAAACTAAATGAGTGCCCACTAGTGGTTCTCAAACACCTCATGTTGGGACATTTGAAGTTCATTCAGAGGCTGTTTAACCCCAAGAGCCATTTCTCCTATCCATACACAGCTCAGGAAGGCTGGGAGGGAGGCTTTGAGAAGGCTCTTGCTCATGTGCAGAGGTTCTGGATCCACAGTCCTACTTTCTGGCCTGGCTCCAATCCCACCTCCTCTCCTGACTGGTTCAGGAGGGCTGTGGCCCCCAGCGCTAGGCCTGCTGGCTACAGCCTCCCGATCTTGGCCACTTACCGGCTGTGGCGCCCAATCCCATATTGCAATACTGCTGCCCCTTGTGTGATGCTGAGGCCCATGGGGTCATACACTCAGTCACCTCCTCTGTCCCCACTAATGCTGGGGCTGAGCCTAAACTGGCCTTTGTTGTGCGTTGTCTAAACTGAATGTCCAAGGCCATCTTTGAAAGCCTGGTGATTGGTTGCTTCTGCCTTCTCAAATGTCCCTGGAGCCTTCCCAAACCCAGGCTGAGGAGGACTGGTACCTGGTGGCCAGTGGGTGCCTATGGGACAAAGTCTTAGGTGAATTAGTTTGGGGGACGCAGGGTCTGCAGGGTGGTTATCAGTAGTTTCATGGGTGGGATTATCAGGCCCGTTCAGAGGCAACACCCTGAGATCACATCTATTAACTGTTCCCTTTTTCCTTGCAGCAGAATTAGCTCACAAAACATAAAGAAACCCAAGTGCACTCCCTCCGGGTGTCAGGCTCAGCCACAGTGGCTTCTAGAAACATGAGGTGCAAACTAGCCCTTCCTCCTGGGGCCTATCACACTTTGTGCAAAGCACTCTTGGTTACAGATTTTCTTGTCCCCTCTCACAATGGTACCCTGAAGAAGCCAGGCCTGGGGTTAAGAGATTCATTTCATGGGGAAACTGAGGCTTAGGGAGAGCTGTCACTTGCCCAAGGACCCCCAGCTGGTTGGGGGCCACCTGCTCCTACCACATCCTCGTCCGGACATCTTTCCATTACGTCAGCGTTCCCAGCAGGCATTGTCCCCCAACACAGGGGGTTCCCATCAGCTTGGGAAGGCCTTCCTCCACCCTCCTCCTGGAGAGTTCCAAAAGTTTTCAAGGGTCCCGTCTCCGAGAGGCCCCATCTCATTTTGCTTGAACCCAGCACATCCCAAGAACCCCATTTTATGGATACGCTCAGGGACACTTTCCAGAACCTCCAGGTTTGTAGGGGTCAGACAGCTGCCTTGTTTGTGATGGGCTTGTGGAAATGACAGCCTCTGAGCCAGCCTCTGTCCCTGGGCCTTTCCCCCTTGGTCTCCTTCCTTTCTCCCCTGGGCCACCCACCCCTTTACAGGGGCTTCGAGCAGCTCTGACTTTGCTGGGTGGGCTTTATTCCCGACTCTGAGTTTGCATGGCCCGGGAAATTGGGTGTGGGGGGGGATGCATTTCCTACATTTGTCATCAATCTACAAGGGGGAGGATGAACATCAGAATCAGGATTCCAGAAAATAGGAACAGACAAAAATCTCTGAGCCCAAACGCACACTGCTTTGCTCCCTAGTAAATGTTCAGTCTTGGGCTAGGTCTGAAAAGTCAGCCGGAGCAGGTCCGGGTCAGGGGAGATAAGGCTGAAGGGCCTTCCAGAGTGGATAACGGAGAGATGAAGAAAGGAGTCTGGAACTCCCATGGAAATGGGCAAAGCATGGAGGGCACAGAGTAGGAAATCAGCAGGATTTCTTCCGCCAGGAGAAGAGATGAAATTTCTAAAGCCAGGCTGCTGGTTAGGAGACCCCTTTGCATTCCCTGGAGCCTTGGAGGGAAATGTTGGCACAGAGGGCCCAGCAGGAAGCAAGCCTGGCTGGAGGGATGCTGGACACAAGGCAAGGAGGCAGCCCCAGGGCCTTCTCGACGGCCCCAGCCAGCTTCCCAGGCAGGAAAGGACAAAGGGGGTCCGGGCAGGGGTTCCACCCAGCAAAATGGTACTTGTGGCTGGCGCAGCCCACCCTCCCCGCCCCCCACCAGGAGCATTCCAAGAGTCTGGGCATGGCAAGGGGAGCAGAGGGTCGCTGTCCCAAGGGTTCTCTTGAGAAATGGACCTGGTCTGCTCCCCTCCTCCACCGGAGCTGAGCCCTCAATCACTCTACTCTCTGGCCCGTAGCCCCAGCCCACTCCCAAAGCCCTTCTGGGGTTCACAGAAGCCCAGTGGAGTCTGAGGTGTTAGCTACAGCGGGAGATGGCTCTGCCTCACCCCCTCCCCACACTGTCCTTCCTCTAGCAGGGCACTTCACGGTGATGCTGCCCAAGCACTGGGATGTCACGGCTCAGTAAACCCAGGCCCCACCACTTCCAGCTGTGTGATCTTGGGCAAGCCACTTAACCCCTCCCTGCCTCAGTTTCCTGGCCTGTAAAATGGGCACAATAATGGTGTCCATTTCATAGGCTTTTTGGGAAATACATTAATGTGGGTTAAGCACTTAGATGAGCATCTGGCATACAGTAAGTGCTCCATAAGTGTTTGTTAGCTCTCGGTACTGCCGTTGGAAAGGGGTCAGCGGGGAGCTGTCCTGTGGGCAAGCGGCGGCCAGCGCTCTCCGAGTCTGCACAGACTTCCTACCTAATGCGTGCCCCGTGGGGCTCCAGAAATGCCAGAGAGGCTTGCTGGGACCCAGCCTGGCTCCACGGTGCCGTGAGACAGCCAGGGCTGGTCCCACTAAACCAAAGAAAGGCATCTGCACCCTGGTGCAGGAAGGGATGGCCACAGACGACGCCCTACAAGGCATGGTTCCTAAAACCAAGAGAAAGGGGAGTGAGCTTTTCCTTGGCCGTGTCCAGGATTCCTGCGTGCCGGAGGTGGGTCCCCCGCCCTGAGACCCTTCCCCCTTGCCCGGCCAGCAGCAGGCACTGCGTGGTCTTTCCATGGAGCACTGTGCTGACGGCTCGGGGGGCTCAGGCCACCAGCCATGGCCTCCGCGGGAGCCGCCTCCCTGCGCCACCCGCCTGGGCAGGGAGGGCCAGGACCCAGGCGCCCCTCTTGGGTCCTGCTGACAATGATATGACAGGTCCCACCCTCAGCCTGCTGCTCTGCCAGGGGAGCTGGGGACAAAGACAGCTCTGAGGAGCCTGGCAAGGGAGGGCTGCCAGCTCGCTCCGTGTCTCAGGCCCCCCACGGAAGGGTCTGGTTTCCGTGAGGTTTAGAGTCCCAGACTCCCTCTTCCGAAAGCATCCATCCTCCCCTGCACCCACCCCCGAAACACACCCCACCCCGCCTATATACACACACCCACCCATACCTACACACATACCTACACACACCAGAGCACCCATACACTCACACCCACGCACACCCTTCACACACACACCCCCCCTTCCGTGACGAGATGCCTTTGTCGCCTGCAGGCTTCTCCAAACCTGGGTCAAGAAGCCAGGAAAAGCCTTTGCGAGCCACCCCCAGGGTAGTTGCTGAAGAAGCACAGCCTCATTTCTAACGCAGCACACCTCCCCTCACCTGCGTGAAGGTGAGTGAGTCAGGTATGCAGCTGAGGAGGATCCTCACCCTCTCACCGAGCCCCCGGGTGGACTACCTCCCTAGGGCTTCTTTGTCGGGCCACCTCCGGCCGAGCAAGCTGAAGGCGGGCATCGGGAGGCTCGCGGTCTGGCGCTCGCCTGGGACCCAGCCAGCAGGGCCGGACATTTGGATCTCACTCCAAGGGCTCCTTAAATCAGGGACTCCTGTCTTACCCCTTGTCCCGCCCCACAACCTCCACCCAGCATGTCTACAGAGATGAGTTCAGGGAGGGATGGAGCTTCCTGGTGACAAAAGCGCCCTGAGAAGCAGGAACCCGTCTGGTTCTCCCATCCACTGGCGCTGAGCGTGCCCACCATCTGCCTGCCTTTCTGGCCACGACTGGCCTGCAGCACCATGGGCCTCACTGCACAA